TTGTTGGTGGGCTCCGGCAATACAGAAAAATAAATTCCTTACCTGCTCAAACAGAGAGCAGAAAATCATATTTAACTGAACCAGGCTCAGTGCACAGGTCATTCTGAAATTAAAACAGAAATGTATACCTTTGAAAGTTTATATAATTTGCAGAGCAAGAGGATCAGACACCAAAAAAGATGCCGCTGAAAGCAGACAACTGAGAATGTTATTTGGAAAAAGTGTTGACTATTCCCCAAGCACTTCTCACTTCATCCTGTGTCTGCAAGCATACTTACATGTTAGTGGGGAGGTAGCAAAGGGCAAGAAAACAAGCGATTCCTCTGCTGCTGAGACAGGTGCCTACATAATCTAATGAGCATCAATCCAGCAAAAAGTAAAAGCATAATTATAATAGTGCAGCAAACAGCTGACACAACAGGTGTGTGTGTGTGTGTGTGTGTGTATTCCTGGATACAAGGTTTTTCTGTGTAGCTCAACTTAGCCTTGACCTCCACATGTTCCTGGCTTGGCCTCTCAGCACTGTGATTATAGATGTCTGTGTACCCTCATGCCTAGCAACAGAGCTTTCCTCTTCCTCCTCCTTTTCTTATTTTTTAGGTTTATGTATTGTGGTTTTGTGTGTGTGTGTGTGTGTGTGTGTGTGTGTTGCTGCATCTATAGATGCTCACCACTTATATGTCTGGTACCCACTGAGGACAAAAGAAGGAAACAGATCCCAGCTGGGAACCAAACCCAGCTCCTCTGCAAGAGCAGCACTCTTTTTATTATTTTGTTTTTGTTTGCTTGCTTTTCAAGACAGGGTTGCTCTGTGTAGTCCTGGCTGTCCTGGACTCACTCTATAGACCAGGCTGGGCTCAAACTCACAGAAATCTGCCTGCCTCTGCCTCTCCAGTGCTGGGACTAAAGGCAAGATGTGTGCCACCATGCCTGACTTAGATCTCCTTTCCTATGATGGCTGCAAGGCCATATTCACACTAGGTGTTTGCTGTGGCAATTGTCATGCTAGTATCATTTTTACATTTTTTTTTTGTTTAAGTGTGTGTGCTTGTATGAGTGTCTAACACATGTGTGGGTACCCACTGAGGCCATAGGCATCAGACACCCAGGATCTAGAGGTACAGAAAGTTGTGAGGCACCTGACATAGGTTCTGGAACTCAGACCGTAGTCCTCTGGCATAGTAATTCAGAATCGTAACCACTGAGTCATTAAGTTTTCCTAAGTGGGACATGTGTAAGACCCTTTATATCCACAGGGACTAGGCCCACTATATGGCTCCAGGATACTGACATCTCAGGCTATTAAACGCTCCTATTTACTCTGAGATATTAGCAACTTAGTGTGATCATAAAGGTAAGGACAGAATAAAAGAGCAATAGTTGGGTGTGGCAGCCCAGGACAGCAATCCCAGGACTCTGGAGAGCATCTCACCAGATCTCTGTGAATTTGAGGTCAGCCTCGTATAGGTAGTGAGGACCAAGCCATGCAGGGCTAGAGTGATACCCTGTGTCAAAAAGGAAAGGGGTGGGCTGGGGACATGATCAGTTGAAAAAGAGGTTGAGGGGCTGGAGAGATGGTTTAGTGGATAAGGGCACTGCCTGCCTTTTCAGAGGTCCTGAGTTCAATTCCCAGAAACCACATGGTGGCTCACAACCATCTGTAATGAGATCTTGTGCCCTCTTCTGGTGTGTGGGTGTACATGCAGATAGAAACATTGTATACATAATAAATAAATAAATAGGGGGCTGGAGAGATGGCTCAGCCTGTGAGAGCACTGGCTGTTCTTCCAGAGGACCTGCTCAGCCGGTAAGAGCACTGGCTGTTCTTCCAGAGGACCTGAGTTCAATTCCCAGCAACCACATGGTGACTCAACAACCATCCGTAATGGAATCTGATTCCCTCTTCTGCTGAGCACCAAAAACAGTGTTCATATACATAAAATAAATAAATCTTTAAGATAAATAAATAAATACATAAAATATTAAAAAAAAAAAAAAAAAGGAAAAAGAAAGAGCTTGAAGTGACCTGAGTTTGAGCCCTAGGCTACTGCCTCCATGCTTTTTTATTTTTATTTTTTGGAGCTGGACATTGTAGTTCGTGCCTGTAATCCCGAAACTGGGGAGATGGCTCAGTGGCCAGTGAGCACAGCATGCTTTATCAGCTCCGTGCCAGTGAGAGGCCCTATTGATGGCATCTGAGATAGCCAAGGGTCGCTCTATTTTCACCTGCACTGTACACCATGCATACTTGCACACATGAGCACCTGCACACACCCGAGAAGTCTCCAGAAACATTTCATTCTGGTATTTAAAATGTTTAATATCCCATTCTACATCTTTTTTTTTTTTTTTTTATAATTCAACATATTGATATAGTTTTTTGGTTGTTATTTTGAGGAAAGGTCTGTGTATTCCCAGCTGGTCTTGAACTCCCAATTTTCCTGCCTCCGTCTTTTATTTGACAAACTTATAGAAATTTGCCACCACATTCACATTCTACTTTTTAAAGTTTAATTAATATTTTTAGGTTTAAAAAAAATGTTTATGGGTAGCCCAGCATGGTGGCACACTCCTTAAATCCCAGCACCTGGGAGACAGAGGCAGGTGGATCTCGTGAATTCTGGTTGGTCTAGAGTGAGTTACCAGACAGCCAATGTAATTATACTGAGAAACCCTGTCTCGAAAAACAACAAAAATGTATGTGGGTGTTCTCCCTGGGTGTCTGTGCACCAAGTACATAAAGTGGCCACAGAGGCTGGAAAAGAGTATTGGATCCCCTGGAACTGAAATTATAGACTACTTTGAGTCATCATGTGGGTGCTGGGAATTTAACCCCAGTCCTCTGTAAGAGCCACAAGTGCTCAGAACTGCTGAGCTGTCTCTCCAGCCCTCTAAAACTATTTTTTTTTTAATTAAGCTGGGTATGGTGTGCCCGTCTTTAATCCCAGCACTAGACAGGCAGACAGGCAGATCTCTTGAGTTCCTGGCTATTCTGGCCTATAGATCTAATTCGAGGACAGCCAGGGCTACACAGAGAAACCCTGTCTTGAAAACGAACGAATAATTATTCTGTAGACATGTCTATAAGATGGCCTTAAATTCTCTTGTTTGTTTGAGATAGGGTCTATGTAAGTGGAACTCTATACATAGACCAGGCTGGCCTCAAATTCAGGGATCCACCTGCCTCTGCCTCCCTTGCGCTGGGATTAAAGGTGAGTCTCTCTCTCACTCTTTAATTAAAAAACTCATTTATGCATTATAGGTGTTTTGCCTGCATGTCTGTGAACTACGTGTATGCCTGATGCCCTCGGAGGGCAGAAGAGAGTGAGATCCGCTTGAACTGGTGGGTGTGAGCTACCATGTGGGCCTCCTGAACTTTTAGGCTCAGGAGTTCGGAATTTACCGGTATGAGCAGCAACACCCAGCTTAGAGCACTGAAAACAGCAGGTTGGTGGCTGGAGAGAGGGCTCAGGGGTCCAGAGCACTGATCTTTCAGAGGTACTTAGTTCAATTCCCAGCAACCAAATGGTGACTCAAAACTGTCATAACGGGATCGGATGCCCTCTTATGTCCTGCAGGCACACATGCAAATAGAGCAATAATATGCATAAATAAATGTAAATAAAAAGGAAAGAAAAGAGCAAATCCTTTAAGAGGTAGTGTGAGATACACTTTCCAGTTCTTTTCAGAGACCTCCTAGGCTTAGAAACTTTCATTTGTTTCCAGGCAGGGTCTCTGTGTTTAGTCCAGGCTGCCCTGGAACTCACTCTGTAGACCAGGCTGGCCTTGAAGTAAAAGATCCACCTGCCTCTCCCTCCGGAGTGCTGGGATTAAAGGCATGTGCCACCGCACCTGACCTATGTGGATTATTATTATTATTATTATTACGTTTTAGATTTTATTTTGTGTCGATGTGCATTTGCCTAAGTGTGGAAGTCAGGACAACCGGTAGGAGTACGATCTCTCCTGCTACCATGTGTATCCCACTCAGGTCATCAGGCTTGGTGACTAGCAGGTGCTTGTGCCCACCGAACCCTCTCACTCACTCTATTCCTGCTACCCTAGTGCAGTGGTAAGATCTTTGACAATGGTGGGGCAAACAAAACGTTCTTAGGTGACACCTTCCCTGCGTCTAAAGCCAAGGACACTCAGGATACTTGTGCTTATCTGGGACCTTGGGTTTTCGCTGCTTTCCTCGAGTTAAGGGGACTATATAGCTGGCCGTCACTCCTGTTACCTATCCAGGCCCTGAAGAGAAAACTATTTGGTGATTCTGGGCAGCAAAATGAATTTTCTGGATAGTCTATTACGCCTTCTGTAAAACAGTTTGCGCCGCACTTTTGAGGTTCTGGGTTTACCCACTGATCCAGTTGTACCATCAGAGTTTACATACTGGAAGAACATACTCTTTGCAGTAAGCCTTTGCAACGTAGGAATTCGAACGAAAGTGCCAGACTGAGGGCGGACGTCAAGGTGACAGAGATGACAAAAACTTCTGAACGCATTACGCGTCCCGAGAGCATAAAGAGGTCGACGGGTCAAAGGTCTGGTTTCCGGTCAAGCCTAAAGCAAACCGGAAGTTCCTAATCCAATCCTCCTCTTATTCGGCTCCTCCAACTGGAGATTGACGAACCCAAGATGGAGCGTCCGCCGGGGGAGGGAGGAGCTTACGGCCCCTCCCTTCCAATAGCAACTGAGCAGTGTTTTTTTTTCCCAGCCAATCAGTGCCAGGAGACGAACAAATTTAAAGCCCCCCCCCCCCCACCTGGTTGCAGGACCGTCCCCTTGCAGAGAGGCGGGGAGAAGGGCGGGCCCTGGCCTCGATCCCGCCAATCACAGCGGGGGCTCCGAGAAAGAGCGGGCGGCAGCGCCAATCAGCACCCCCAGCCGCGGTCTGGCTGAGCAGTTGGCTACAGTTGTTGCAACTTTTTTCGAAAGCTTGGTTTCCCGGGAGATTCCAGGCGGTGACAGAGCCGGGCCATGGCTAGAGGTATTTGCTAGGGTGGCCAGCGCGTGGGGACTGCCTGGCGGTGAGCCGCACTGCAGGGAGCGCAGGGCGCGGGAGAGGCCGCTCACAGGCGTCCTCCGACGGTGGAGTGCGGGGACCCGCAGGGACAGGGCACCCTGGGTGCTCCCGGAGGTCATTCCCCTTGTTGGGCAGTGCTTTCCCAAGTGTCCCCGCTTTTTCTGGACGCGTGGGAGCCTGTGGTTCAGCTAGTCTCCACGGAGCTGGCATATCCTGTATGTCTAAGCTCATGGGAAACTTGAGCGCAGCGCCCCACCAGGGAACGGTTGTTACTGATGCCGCGAGCCTGGCCGCCCGAGGAGGTGACCCCGTGCAGTTTGCTGACCTGCATCTTGGGCAGTGCGCGCCCCTGAGTCAGCTTTGCACCGCAAGGTCAGGCCGGGTCCCAATGGTTCATTCCGGGGTGAGTCGGGTACCCCGGGTGCTTAGCGGAGGAGCCCTTCACCCCTAAGCAGGGCAGGACTTGAGCCCACATGGGATGGCGTGGCTGGACTCGTGCAGCCACGCGAGGCAAGTCCATCTTTGAAGATGTAATTTGCTGTCAGCACAAAAGCCCACGTTATGCGGCAAAGGGATCTCCACCCGTTTGCAATTTCTACCCGCTGTGTCGCACGCAAAAGGACCTAAAACTTGAGCGTGACTGGAGAACCAGTTGGTTTATGTTTTTAGTTTTTATAAGTTGGAGTGTTGCGTTTTTCTCGAAATGCCTAGACCTCTCTTGTTAGTAGAAATTTCCCTTAATGCAGTGTGCTCTGTAGAGCAATAATCATAGATTAATTCGCCATTCATTCAGGGACTCTTTATTGAGCCCCTTGGTATCCTCTGCACCCGATTGCATCATTTATTCTCCTAGGACTTACAGGGTCTTTGCAGACAGCACTTCCTCAGATGCTAACCAGGAAGGAGGCATAATGAACCTCCCGTTAAAGTGTTTCATTACCTAGAGAAAATTAATACTAGTCTCACCCTTTCCCCTCTCCCTTTCTTCACTCTGGCACTTTTCTCTTTTCTTTCTTTCTTTTTTTTTTTTTTTTTGAGACAGTGGCACTAGGTAGTCCTGACTGAAATGGAATTTGTTATCTAGACCAGGCTGGCATCAAATTTGGGATGATCCTCTTTCCCTTACCTCTCAAGTTCAGGGATTTTAGACATATACCACCATGCCAAGTATAACATTCCATTTTTCTTAAAGAAAAAAGTATCCAAAAGCATATTTAAGTTGTCTGATTATCTTAGTTATGAGTTCCTAGTTCACTTTTCCTATTACCATAAGACTTTATAACTTTTAAAACTTTATTATTGTTATTTAATGTGTATTATTGTTATTTAATGTGTTTTGGCCACTTGTGGTTTGTGTACCATATGTGACTGGTGACCACAGAGGCCAGGACACAGCACAGGGCCAGATCCCCTGGAAACTGGAGCTGCAGAAGGCTGTGAACAGCCACGTGGGTGCTGAGAATCAATCACCAAGCATCTGTCTGTGCTGCCACATGAAAACATTCTGAGCTGCAGGGGCCCTTCACACATGTAGGACACTGACATACATGCAGGCAAAACACCAATACATTAGAAAAAATAATTTGTGTGTGGGAGGAAAACTTGATTTAGCTGAGCACTGTGTGTAGGATGGTGAAAAGCTTTCAATCCCACCACTCAGAAGGCAGAGGTAGGTGGATCTCTGAGTTCCAGGCCAGCCTGGTCTAAAGTCCAGGACAGCCAGGGCTACACAGAGAAACTCTTGTCTAGAAACAACAAAACAACAACAAAAAGCTTGGCTTGAGAAAACTATTACTGAAATATGGGAATATTTATTGAAATGCAAACATTTTATTATCTCAGTTATGATGGGATAAAGACTTCTTTTTGTTTTGGTTTTTGGTTTCTTGAGACAGGGTTTCTCTGTATAGCCTTTGCTGTCCTGGACTTGCTTTGTATACCAGGCTGACCTGGAACTTACCAAGGTCCCCCTGACTGCCTCCCAGACTGCTGGACCACAGGCCTTCAGCACTCTCGAGGGCTGGGATAATGCCTTTGTACACTGTGTAAAGGTTATCCTTGTATTATTTAAATGCTGATTTCTGTGCCAGTGCAGGTCTGCTTCAGGCCGGCCTTTGGCATTGTCCTTTTTATGAAGCATCTTCTGTCTGGATGCTGTGTAAACATTGTTCTCCATTGCCTTATGATTGGTTAATGCAGATAACCTCTATACTTTATCACATATAGTCCTTCAGAAGTCAAAGATGAAGTTGGAAGTCACATACTTTGTCTATGCTCTGTCTCTGTTCCGCTGCTGCCTCCCTTCTTAGCCAGAGCTAAGGGTTAGTTTACTGAGCTGCCCAGTAAGGCTTATGATCCTCATGGCTCACTATGTGCTCCTTTGACTTAATACTTGTGAGAATGTGAGCAAGTGTGTGTCTTAGTGTGTTATTGATATTGGATCCTAGGGCCTCACACTTCCTATGCAAGCACTTTTCTACTTTCCTATCCTCTCTACCACCGCCCCCCCCCCCCCCTTTTTTTTTTTTGAGACAGAGTCTCTCAGTGTCTACCTGGGAACTCACTGTGCAAACAAGGCTAGCTTCAAACTCACAGAGATCTGCTTGCCTCTGCCTTCAGAGTGCTGGAGTTAAGGACGTACACCTTAACCTGCACCTGGCCTGAGCCTGGTTTTGTTTTTGTTTAAAAACAGACTTACCATGCAGCTCAGGCTGGTCTAGAACTCAGGCACTCCTCAAACCTCAGCTTCCCAAGTAGCTGGGGTACTGCAAGGCCTGGAGAGTCTGTATTACTCCTGTAAATTATTAAATTAGACACTAAGGGTTGTAAACCCTATCATTTATAGTACATCAAATGAAAAGGTCAGCCTTTTGTCTCTAGACAATTACATTGGAGGGAGTTGTTTTTGTGATGGTGGAGATGAAAAGGGGACTTGCACTGTCACTGAGTTTCATCTTCAGCCCCTAGAAAGAGCGTCTTTGACGCTCATATACCATATCTACTCATATACCAGGTAGCCTCTCTCGTTCTGAAGATTGTCTTGTCATTTTTTTTGGTTGTTATTTTATTTGTAGTGAAGTTTTGTAGTATCTTGGCTTGGTTTGGTTTGGTGTAGTGTTTCTGGGAGTGCGTCACCATATGCTTTATCTTGAGGAAGATGAGCTCATCTACTACCTGTTTCTCCTGCCTTTTCAAATTGCTCTCCTTTCTTCCACTTTCATCATCTCTCAGCAGCTAAAGAATGCAGATTTTGGGCTGGAGAGATGGCTCAGAACTAAAAATATTATATATATATATATATATATGTGTGTGTGTGTGTGTGTACGCATACACATATATATATGTATGAGTGCAGATGTTTATCACCTGACTTTTATTTCTCCTCTTACTGCTCCTGTGATCAATTCTGTAATAGTCACTATGGCCTACAAAGCTCCTCTCGCTGACCCCCTCGCCTCCCCCCCCCCACTGTCCTCTAGCTGTCTTTATGGTCACTGCTGTATATACATAGGTTGGAACAACGTAGGTATTCAGTAAATGTTTGGTAAATGGATTAATGGATTTTATGCCAGTGTTTGATTTCAAGAGAACCATTTTTTTTTTTTTTTTGAGACAGGGTTTCTCTGTGTATCCTTAGCTGTTCTGGCCTCACTTTGTAGACCAGGCTGGCCTTGAACTCACAGAGATCTATGCCTATGTCTCCCTGGTACTGGGATACTGGGATAATAGGCGAATGCCACCGCAGCAAGTTACTTTAGTATTTTTTTTTTTTTACTTCTCCCAGTCATAGTCTTCAGTATTTAAATGTGGCAGGCTCTGCAGGGAGTGGGAAGTTAGAGGTTGGGGATAGGCCTCTGTGAAACTTATTAAAGCAAGTTGATAAGGTGTTAAAGTCCTGAGAATGGCTTGTCCTGTAATCCTCCTCAGCCATTTTAACAGGAGGGAAGGTAAAGAGGCACCCCCACCTACAAGCCCTTTATTGCACATGTTGGAAGGCCCCTCGTCTAGGTCATGGAAACAGGGCTTTGGGAGTTTAGCTACCAAGACTAGAGGGGCCAGACTCAGGAAGTGACTTAGCTGTGTGTTCTGAATACTGAGGCAAGAGCTAGGTACCTTCAAGTGTCTTATTTGCGTCTATGACTTTGCACAAATACAGCCAGTCTTTGGCTGTGAACCAGCATGCCCTAACAGCCACCGCACAGCGACAGGCACAAAGCAGTATATAATCATAATCAGTCACCAGAGTGCCAAGAACCCTGCCTACCCAGGCATTTTTCTTAGTGGAGAGGCCGCAGGGGCACAAGACAAGTGACCTGCTCCCTAACCTCTTCTGTCACACCGTTGCTCCCCCAACCTCAATTTTCTTCATCTGTAAAGGCCAGGAGTAGTGGCTAGGAGTGCAGTCTTCCTGGTCTGTTGGCTTGGTCTGCAACCCGGGTTGCAAGAACTTGGCCAGTCCCTCGCTTCTCTGATCCTCAGTTTCCCCATCTGTAGTGTCTGTCTTCCCCGAGCTGTTGAGGCTTGAACAAGATAGCATGGCAGGAGAAGCACCCCAGCAAACTTATCAAGGCCAGCCAGGGCTCCCCGGCTCCTCGGGGCCTCCTACCGGCCACAGGCAGAGTTCGCTTGCCTCTGGCTGAGGGCCTCATCACTTCCTGGTTCTGTGGCCCCCGAGACTCCCCACCTTCCACTGGGATGCGCGCAGTGCGGACGCCCGGGGCTCACGCGAACGTCCCACGCATGCAGACGCGACCCTGTGACGGGCTCGGGGCGCCGTGCAGTCGCGGCGCGGGAGTGGCCGGGGACGCGCGCGCGCGCGCGCGCGCGCGTGTCGCGGGGCCGCGCTGAGCCCGGATTGGCCGTCGTGTGCTCTCGCGCCCGCCCCGCAGGCGCCTGGCAGCGCCGCCCCTGCCCGCGCCGTCCCCGGCCTCGCTCC